TCGCGGGGGGGGTGGGGGTGGGGGGGGGCGGGGCCGCGGGCCTGCCGTGCCCCCGAGGCGCGCCGTGCTTATCGGGGCTTAGGAAGGGAGGTTAGGGCCCGAGAGGGCGATGCCGGCGCCCTTCCTCCGGGCACGGCCCCTTTGTCATGGTAAGGGAGCCGCCATTCAGGGCCGGACTTCAGAGGGGGCTGCCGGGGGCAATACACAAACGGGCACGGCCCAGCGGCTGCGGCCGAGCTGCCAGGGGCGGGAGCGCCCGGGGCGGTTTATACCCAGCCCCTGACCCAGGGACGCGGTGGAATCCCACATCGTTCGTTCCCACTCCAACAGCAGCACCTCTGTGCTCCGAAGGGAGCCCCCGCAGCGGGTTAGGGCGTGTTGTGCGATGGGATTGGCAATAAATGTACGTGCTTTCACGTTTCTACAGCACATCGCTTTTTTTTTTGGTTGTTTTTGTTACAGCGATCAGCCCTAGGTTCGGTGTGAAATACTTATGAAGAAACGCAGAAAATTAATTTCAGCGGGTGGAGATTTCATTATCAGTACCGATTTCATTACTGGTACTGATTTCATTACCACCGCTTTTCCCTCCACCAGCCAGCAGATACAAAGAACATGCACAACTTCTGTAAGACACAAGGAAGTCCAGGGAAGGTGTTTGGTTCGTTAAATTCCCGAGAAACCCAAAATCACTCATTTGGTTTAGAAAAGGAGCTGCTTTTGCCATGGGAAAATCAAATGTATTCCACAGGCCATTAAAATGGCAGCTTCTGCAACAGCAAGTCGCTTTTGCTTTGCACTTGAATCTTTAGACTCCATTTTATTAAAAACAGTACTTACAAACATTTTTTTATATGTTGGGTTATCTGAGAAGACTGGTTTGACAATACGAATATGGTCAGCTTTTTACCTAATTACAGGAGTAGTTTTTCATTTAATGCCTTGCTTGAGCTTAATTTGTCTCCTTTGGAATTACTGCCACTTTTCTGATCAATTCAGATGTGCCCTGTCCTTCGTGCAAGTCAATACTCATGAAAATCAAGCCGATCAGAAAAGAAAGAGGGGCATTCAGAGCAACTGCCTGCCTGCGTAGCCAGCCCCAAAATACACTGTGTGAATTAATGAGCCATAAGGAGGAAGGCGTATTAACAACCAACCACATCAAGGAATTCTTTTCTTTCTCCTCTTAGCTGGATATATTGGATTAAAAGCCACTATGACTGACTCACACATGCGAAAGTTTTGCATGCTTACGTCCCGCTTGTAGGTCAGTAAGACTACAATAACTGAGACAGCAAGATGTTTCAGTGAAAAGGATCTAATTTGTTTTGCTGGCAACAGGGCAGCTCACACTGTACGCTTTATACATCGCCCATTATTGACAGCAAGACTGTTTCTAGTTTGAACTTGTGAACCCATTTGTTAGGGCTGTTGAGACAGGAAAACAACAACCACAACTACTACACAAGCAATGTCAAACTTTTATTTCAAACTTTTGCAATACTGCATTAGTCACCGATCGATACGGAGAAAACCTCCCAGCAGTTTCTTCTCTTTATATAAACATAATACTGCAACGTTAATCAGAACCCCATCTCTAAAATACTTCTGTGTAGCTGCAAGCGGTTTAAAAAAAAAAAGGCTAAGTTTTGATATTGTTGACTTATTTCTGAACTATAGTCTGCCCTCATGATTTCAAATTCTATTGCAGTAAAAATTTCCAGCTATGTGGACCCACAGTGTGCTCTCATCAACATATAAAATACACCGTTAAACTCCCTTGTGGTTTTGAGTCCCATGACCACAAATTAAAGTTGGAGGAATGACAAACAACACGTGGAAGAGTGAAATAGGTACAGTTGGCCCAGAGTCACACGAAGAGTACAAAGTCGGCACTGCAGAAGGGAAAACCAAGCGCCTTCATTCTCAAAACAGGTTATTCCTGACACGGACACCAGTGAAGCGCAGTTCGTCAGAATACAGACGAGGCTTTTCTGATTCGTATTTGAAAGCTTCACGTTTTTATTGGTCTGCATGAACGAGACTTGACTTCGTTTAAAATAATTCTTAGAAACTGCTTCACTCAAGTTGTCTTTTCCCTTTCAGTTGTTTTAAAAACGAGAATTATTCCAGCAAGCGCGAGCTGGGCACAATTAATTTCACAGGCAACCGTTCTGGACACACTGCCCGTCCCAGCAAAGAGCGTGGTCAGATGGGGCTTTTGAATCAGTTTGGTTTACAGGACTAAATCAAGGGTGGTTTTTAATGTTGTTTTGCTGTTTTAAGCAGCTTGTGTGCCACAGAGCAAGCTCTGAAAACACACACACATCTGCACAGTAAAATCGTTTTCCTGTCTGGTTGGGTTTTTATACCGATCTCAAGCAACGACTGTTTCTGTTGTGCAGGCTTGGTTTTCGACACTTGTCTACTGTGTCTATTAAGATGTTAACGAGCAGTAAGCAGTGTGGAAAAAAAAAAACCCAAGGCATACACCGGTGCCGGAAACCACTGGGCAGAACAGAAATGATGTATAATAGAAGAAAACCTTCAGAGATCTTCCTTTGGCTTTTTGCTTGTTTCTGAGAGGCACTTAGGAAAAAGAGGTCCAGATTAAGAGGTCCAGGCACCAAAGAGGCACTGGTAGATAGCAAACTGACACACAAAAGGTGTAAAGCTCCCTTCCTGCAAGATTTGTGGCCTGGCAGCCAGGCCACCGAAACAGGAATTAGCCATTTTCCGTTCAGGGCCAAGCTCTTACTGACTTGAGCAGTTGCTTGGTCCTGGGCAGAAATTTCCACCGCGTGCCTCGGTTTCTCCATCTGTAAGGACGGCTCTAGCGCTTGCCCTCTGCTGAAATGCTTTCAGGTGCATATACAGAAATCAATAAATAACACACGAATCTTAATGGTTTCGTGACAGGTCCTTTAAAAAACTAGACCCTTCTCCCCATGTTCCATAAAGAACTAGAAATATTTATACGGTTAAAAAAAAATAACTTTTTTCTTTTACTTTTTTTTAACACAACGTTTAGGAAGTAAAATTCAACGAGACAGTTCAGTTTTGTTGCTAACCAGTTCTACGTTTCACATGTTTCTACAGTGAATCCAGTAGCGCACAAAAGGATATATTTAAGCACCTAGAAAACCAAATTTGGCAATATTTGCACAACAGAATCCCAGCCCAGACATTTTAGCTTTTAATTAAAACAGTGGAACACGATACTAGTTCTAAATTTCTTAGCCCTTACTGTTTACTTATCAATCCTTTTCAACTCCAGAGAAGGAAAAACGCAGAATTTTTTGTGCTTAGCGAAGGCAATCAGTTCCTGTCCTTCTCCCTCCATAGATGATATAAAGTAAGAAAAGGCAGACACAAGGAATAACTTTGCCAAAGAAAAGCAGTCCTAATTCAGCA